CCTTCTCTCCACAAACTTCTCTAAAAATTATATATCACATTAGTGGTTTCCACCACTATCAGTATTACGGTTCTCTCCCGATCCACTAGGCTCACAAGCCTACTAGGCTCACTAGCCTAAATCACACACCACTCTAGGCTCACTAGCCTAGCTCACAGTCACACTCAATCTTAGCCTTCGATATCCTCATCGAAGGCTTACACTGACGGCCGCTTTCAACCGCCTAACCTCCAAACCGCCTAACGATTTAATCGCCTAATCCCGTGCACGAACGTCGACGTACGTCGGCGCTCACTAGTTCAAACCTTACACGGGTCGAACCCTAATCAAAAAGTAATTCGGCTACTATAATAACCGAATTCTAACAGTCCCACTCAAACGCATCAATCTAGCCTCTAACTCGTCACGCTCCTCTTGCGGGCTGTCTTCTTCGACTTTGGCGTCACCCCCATGCCTCCACTCTCGCCACCCTCGCTCTCCAAACAGTGCACTGCGTCGCTCTTCTTCGACGACGTCTTCTTCACTCTGTCATGCCGTGATATATCCTTGTTGTAAGGGCTCGGCCCTAAGCTACTTTGTTCCCCACACCTAGTTCAAGCCTGCCGCTCTAGGGTGATCCCCCTGAGTCTGAGCTTCGAAACGCTGCATATCTGCTGACAGGCGTGCGCTTGATATTTGCGCGCGGCCGTTACGATCATAATTCAACCGTATGACTACATATTTCGGCGGTTGATAACGCGTCCAGTCACGGCGGTTATGGCGACATCGACTACACTCTGTAGGCTCAGACTACTAGTGTAGACCTCGCGCGATACCACTAGACCGTAGTGACTCGACTTCGACTCTAGACCCGACTCAGATATTCCGACGACAGCGAGTATAACCTAGGAACATTCGACTTATTCGCCAACTTTGTGCGAGTTGTGTTTCGGCGCTCCCTTGTGACAATCAAGGCCGGACGCCTTTGCATCCTCTCACCTGCATGACTTAGCACCTTCAAGCGCTTTGACGCTTCCTCCCTCTACGTTTGCCTGCTGTTTGTCACCCCCTGTGAGCCGAGTGCCTCGTTGGTACTCGTACAAAGTTCCACAGGGTCCTGACAGCCACTGCATTGGGAGCAGCGGAGAGCATCATCATGCGAAGTACGCTCGCCTCTTTCGGGGGAGCATCGACGCTGCAGCCACCACGGGCTGCATAGTGAGTTGCTGCGGGTCCAGTGACGGACCGCTGCAGAGGAAAGCAAGCACGCAAGCATCACAAGCATCCAACAAGGTTGAGTATCTTGTGGTTTGGCTTCGTTTGCGTTTGTTTTTGCATTTCCACGACGGGTTTATCTTTCTTGTGATTGCAAGGTAAGACTCATTTTTGCACTTTGGGCGTGTCATTCATATGTATGCCATGTCCCGGTGCGTAGTAGGCGCTGGCGCTGCGGCGTCTGCAGGTGTACGTTAGTGCGCTCATGCGCATTGCCTTGCTCACCTAAACCCTACTTATAAACTTGAAAATATTAAAATGGTTTGAAGGTTTGTTTTGACTTGTACGTCGGCAGCCAGCCCTGCGGGGGTTTTGAGATGTGTATGCGCTGAGAATATGTAGAGTACACTGCTGTTCTGCGCTGCGCCTTTGGGGCATTCCTGCTTGCAATCGTTCGATTCGTGAGGAAGTTGCACTCTCTTGCATAGGATCATTGTTTCTTTTCAGGAAATTGACTCGTCACCATCAGTAAATTTGCATTGCTTGCAAGTTGTGCACTTGTTCTCTACCTTGGACTGCTGAGTGTTGCTTTGGTTTTGTTCAAAACCTTGCTTAACGCCTCGTAAATAGAGCACACGCCGCTGTTTTGCATATCTAGACACGCAGAAAACAGGGTTAGAAATTTGGTCAAAACTTAACCTTTGGGTCAGTATTTTCTTGCTGGAATAGGTGTGTAGGTAGCTCTTGAGGTTGTGATTTTTGCCTGGTAGGGTTGTTTCATAGTTGTCACCTTCACCGCCCGTAGCGCCTTTGTTTCTAGGGGCGATCATTCTGCCCTACAGCTGATCATCTGACATGCACCAGATTCAGAATACACTGGTATGTACTAGCAGATTCTGTAATAGTGTCAGACTGGATAGCACTGTTCAAACAGGTCCTGAATAATGCCTTAAAAAGCTCATGAAACCCTCTCTTTCCTCACTTGCTTTAAACTGGACATTCCTTAAGAGCAGGTTCAACCTTGGCGCAAGACGTGTCTGACAGTCGAACATGTCGCTCTATGATTTAGATGCCTTTGCTTGACCAAGACCCTCTGTTCAAAGACGACAAGTTTGACGACATTAACGTGGACGAGTACGCGGACGCCCCGCCGTCACGTGCCCAACCCCTCGCCGACCGCTTGGGGCCCCTTGCTGACGCTGGCCTTGTCGCTGCTGCACCAACTGCCAACCAAGCTGGGACGAGCCCCCGCCAGCTTCGCCGCGAGCGCCAGCGCGCCTCCAAGCAGCGCCAGACGGACCAGCTCGCCCACGATCGTGACGCTGCTCGCCACAAGGCCCAGCTTCACGCGCGTGCCAACCCCGGCCCTTGTTCGACTGAGGGCGGGGCCAGCATCCACTTCACCAGAGGGCCGCCGCCGCCCCAGCGCCACTTCGGTTCTGGCATTGGCGCCACCCACTTGGCTCAGCTGCACGAGTTTCTCGACATTGGTTACAGTCTTGGCGCTACGCCTGCAGCAGGTCGGTACCCTCTCTTGGGCATCGACTCAGTTTCTTATCTGAGTATTGTCTGACGCATTCACAATTGTGCCGGTGCACAGACCGACTTCAACTGACATTGCCTCGTGTGCTGTCGTTGCACCTTGCGCTGTCCTTTGTTGCACTGCTGTCAGCACGATGCTAGCTTGGAGTTGCAGTTGCGATCATTGCTTCTTTTGCGCGTGTCTGACCTCGGTCTGTGACCCAAAGGTAAACGATCTTGAACTCGGTTAGGCTGCCGCGGACAGCAATATATGCTTGCTAGTTCGCACCTCCTTAGCCGCACCAGTTCCCACTCGTTTGCAAGGGAGCGAGGCCTGTGGATGTCCTCTTAAACCGCTAGAGAGTCTGCGTGCGGAGGGTGTCCCGTCTCAATCCACCTTTGCTTGTGATAGGACGATAGCGAGCTGAGCACTCAGCTGCAGGCCAGTCGTCATAGTACAGAAATTTGCACTCATAGAGTGACGCTTTCTGCAGAGCTTGTCGAAAGCTTCGTTGAGTAGTGTTACCCGCCGGTGCCATTCGACTAACGACCAGTGTGGTCCGAATTTGGAGGGTCAGAGGCCCTTCAGGTCTCGAACTACGCTGAACAGCCAGGTCAAGTTGACGCTGCGCTACGCAGGTAGGCCCTCCAGGCACAAATTCCGACGTTAGGTGCTTTCTGCGACCTTTCACAGTTGGTCCCTACCAACTAAGGACTTCGAAACTTGTCGAGTAACTGACACGAAGTTCTAAACTTCATTGGTTCTCTGCGGAGTAATCGATTTCGGACAAGTGCTTTCGTGGCGACTTCGTCTTACAGCTTGTGCCTCTGCGGAGAGCCCTGCTCACGCTTGTCAAGTTTACACTTACAACCGTTCTTAAGACGTTCCAATCTAAAAGTCTTCTCATATAAGACCGACACTTGCACATCCCTCTTCCAGGTCCTATCGTTCCCAACCGCGGAGACCGTGGTTTCCCGCGCGGGGGGGGAGGATCCGGACGTGGCGGCCGTGGCCCCTCCCTCTTCCGTGGTGGCGGCCGTGGGCACCCTTCTACTCGTGGAGGTGGCCGTGGGCAGCTCCCTAGCCGTGGTGGTGGCCGTGGTTCCGCCCCTAACCGAGGTGGCGGCCGCGGACCTGCTAATTAGGCGTTGAGTTCGGGCAGAGCGAATTAGTGACCTTCTCGTTCATGAGTTGGAGATACAATCTGCGTAGTGGTCCTCGGTTTCCACATCGTGACCCGAACATTGGACTCGACAGTGACACTGTGCTTGATAAAATTGATTATTATCAAGGCACTAGTTCGAGTCCGACCACTTATTTGCCGCACGAATCATTGTACAATTCGGGGCACTCTGAGTTTGCACCGCAACTTGTGCGCACATCATACTTGCCGACGGGCGCGCCCGCCTTTGTCGAGCCGTTTGATATAGCCGAACTAGACACCATGTCGCTACTGAATGTACAGCTGGTACGGGACTCTTTACGGGACTCTCGAACGGCCCAAGTATCTTACACTTGCGCCAGAATTATGCGACGCTCAAGATGGAGCTCAAGCTCAAGCCGAATTCCGAGCTTATCAACGATAATGACAGGTTCAACCTGCTCATGAAGTTCTTAGCCCGGGGGGCGCGCGATCAGGCCGCCCACCTCGAGCCTGAGATGCGCGAAGAACGGCGCACCCGAAACGCTGCTCAAGCCGACTTATATCTGCGGAATAGGACGGCATATGAAAAGGCGAAGACCGATTATGACGCTCTTTCAGCCGAAGCTAAGGCAGCCGCGATCGAACCGATTTGGCCGGAGCCGCATGTGGATGAAGAGGTCTATGATCAGCCGGTCGAGAAGTTCTGGGCTATGATGGAAAAGCTTTATCAAGAGAAGTCGACGACTCGGATGGATGAGTTCCGCTATTTTGCGCGACGCTCCGAGGAGACTATCGCTAGTCCGGTACAGCGCATGCAGGCACTGAAGCATGCTCTCGACCGCCCCAAGGTGATGGCCGTGTTCAAGCTCATAGCAGCTATGCCCCGCCACTTGGGCGAGGAAGTTACGCGCCAGTTGAACGCTACAGCCATGGAGCCTGAGGAATGGACCATCGAGCTCGTGGGCCGGGTTGCAATCAAAATTGACCGCGCCATGACTCAGGCCTGCCAGCCTGTGGACGACCAATATGCAGCCCAAGGCTGGGCAGCCGCGCCAGGCGCCCGCTCAGGCCGCGCCGGCTGCAAGGCCGAATGGCCGAAGGCAGGAAGGGTCGCACAATCATGCGCATCATCAGCATGACCACCGTCCCGTGCCAGTCTGCCACAACTGCGAGGGTCACAAGCGACCCCAATGCACGAAGTCGCGCATGGTTTGGGGAGCTTCGACTCGCACCGACGCCAGGGCACGCTCTAAGGATCCGAAAGGGATTCAGTGCTGGCACTGCCTACAGTACGGCCACATGGCCGCACAGTGCACGGACAAGCAAGCCGAGGTCGCTCGGCCTGGCGCCCCTAAGATGTGGTGCGATATTCACAAGCTGGATTCGCATAACACAGCTGATTGCAGAGCGGCTCCGCGCTAAGAGCGCCAGACCCGCTGCTGCTCGAGTTGCCTAGGCGCCCGCTACGGACAGCCGAGGCATGCCTGAGCGTACCCTGGCGCAGCTCAAGGAGCTCTGGGAGGCTCATCATAACCCGAATGCCTGCAAGGCTGTGATCGTTCCTGTGCCAAGCGCCCATGTTGCGCCAGTGCACTCACAACTCACCAAGAGGGTTGTGGACAAGGATGAAGGGCTCAGAGGACCGTTGTCCAACATGCCGCTCAGCTTCATCCCAAAGGACTTCCTGCGCGAGCCGCACAGGCCGCCGCCTGGAATGAAGACAGTACCTGAGGGTATGGTTCCTGTCCTTGAGGCTGAGCCGTATGCGCGCGCTACGCCAGAGCCTGTCCCCACTGAGATGGTATCAGTTGAGATTGGTCCTGGTCCGACCAACGACCAGGCTGTGCTGCCGACCCTTGAGACACCGCCGTCTGCGCCTAACACTGCCACTGATGACACACTGCCAGCCAACTTCACTGAGCTGCCGGCAGATGCACCCGCGCGCTAGGGCATGGTGTACAAACCAAGTGTACCACAGCCCGCGCCGACACTTGAGCAGACTGCGCCGACGCGCCGAGGCAAGCCTCGAGCCGCGCTTGCTACCTCTCAGGACTTGTACAATCCAGAGAACCCGAACATCAGTGCGCTGCTCAGCCACTTGCGGCCAGGAAGCTACCACAGCGACCAAACGGCCGGGTTTCACCGCTTGCCACGCATTGATAACTCAGGGCTGAAGCCTGCGATGCTGATCAATGGATGCGCGCTGAACAACTTGCTGCTGGACAGCAGAGCCGAGGCCGTAATCACTGCTCGCTCGGGCGCTGCAGCTATGGGTATCGCACACGACATGATCGCTCCAAATTCCAAATGATCCGCACCGCTACCGGTAACCTGACCGAGCGGTTGGGACGAACTAAAGAGCCAGTCAGCTTTGTGCTGAACCCTGGTACTGCCGACGAAGTCACTGTCATGGCGCATGTGGTTATTGTGAACCAGCAGGCCGCCGACACATTGATTAGTATGTGTATCATTGGACCCGTGGGTCTTGACCCCAGCTTCAGAAATGAAGCGCGTCAAATACTACCTTGAGGGAGACGGACATGCGCCTCGCAAGTGCTTCTTGCGCGCCAAGTTTCCAGACGATTACGATTCTCCCTTTGCCAATCCAGGCGGCCAGGTGCTCCAAGCCCTCGTCGGCACTGTAATATCTCGGATTCCGAGCCCGTGCAATGCGCAAGACATTGAGTTCGCTCGCAGCCGCATCGCAACCTTTCAAGCAAAGGCTCTGCTAGAGATCACTGATATCTTTGACCGAAGCATGCGCGTGCTAGCCACTCCAGACAGGGCCCCTCCTAAGATTCGGAACCCTGCATACCAACACCTGCGGCCCCTGAGCCAAAACCTGGTTGGCCTAAAAGACAAGCTGGCCACACCTGGACCAGGCTTGATGGTCTTGGAGCTGTTCTCCGGCCTCATGGCCACAACCGAAGCGCTGTTGCGCCAAGGGGCTACCGTTTGCAAAGTCTATGCCTGCGAACCGGTCGCTAAGACCAGAAAGATCGCCATGAGGCGACTGGCCGTCCTGCATACGCTTTATCCTCAGCTG